CAAGAAGGAACAGTCAAGTGGTTGCAAGACAACAGTCTGTCAGATTCTTACCATGCACTTTCATCCACTTCCAAAGGCTGATTATTCTTCACAAAGACATTTTAGACATATGCAGATCATAATAATTACTTAAGAAGTTGTATTAATAGATTTAATGAAGAGCTATCAAAGAGACTTGAAAGTGTCCTCACAGTCATGATGAGCTATATGTTGAAAGGGTTTTATGATAAGAACAAAATGAGAGACAGAAAAAGAACTGCCAGTATTCTGTAGACTGCCCACACTGTTGCACAGCCCGCCAAACTTGGTGGACTTTGCAGGTGCCATGGCACCCTGGGAGAGAGTTTGTGGGTTTTCATACTGGAACTCCTGTGCATATTTGCAGTAAATTATTTATGGATCTTCCTCCAAGCACAGAGACAGTGCTGGAGGGATTTCTGAGGCCTTATGCAGTGTGACGAGACATCCCACTGAAGAGAAGAAAAAAGCTTGTCTGAACTGAAAACCTAGAGGTATTCACCAATAGAGAGCAAAGACTCAGGCAGTGCACATTATCTATTTGCAAGTGCCTCACAGGTTGAGGGAGATGGATAACCATAGATGCTATTAAAGATGAAAACCTTTTTCCCTTGCAAGTGTCACCATTCAACCTTTAAAATAACTGGATGCTACTTTCCCAGCGAACTAGCTTTCTTAACCTTATCATTCAATCCCAGCCGAGCGTGACGCAAAGAATGTCCTCCTCAAATCCCAAATCCCCTTTCCACTCCTCCAAATCTGGTATAGCTTAGAGCTTCTCCACATTCAGATCTTAGCCAAGACCAGCTCACACTCACATCACCTGCACAGCAGGAAACTCCACCTGTGCTGAAATTTCTAAAGATGTTAGCATTTTGTGTAACTCGCTACTAAATATTAGGCAACAGATTGCTATTATTGTGGAAAAAGACCCTTAGCTTATCCTCTTTCATACCTTCTAGACAGCTGAAAACTAATAGGATTAAAGAAGGAAACTTAGCTGAGATGAACTTTCATGTATTTCACACATTTTTTTTCTAACTCCAGTTTTTCAATTTTTCCATCCATTTTCATCAACTGATTTCAGAAATATCACATTACAAGATACTATACCAGGATCCTGCACAAAATCCCACCACAGAGAGCAGTCACTAAGACTAAATACTGAAGACTTCAGGCTGCAGATGTGCCCAAGGGACTTGATGAAGGCTTGGATATTGGTAGAAGCCAGCTCAGAGAAACTGACGGTCCATTTTTAAGTGCTCAGTTCTACTCAGAATGTATTTGGTTTAGCAAGGAACCCTAGGGATGGGCCCCCAGACAAAGTTCCATCCAGATGTTCATAATACACTATGTCGTCCAGGGTTCCATGGAGGACATTATCGAGTCAGGAGCATGGGGAGAAAAATGGAGGGAGAGTAGAGGAAATGTCTGCTGAGCACACACAGAGAAATAAGAAGAAAAGCACTGGCCAAGTTCCAGAAATGAAAATCTGACCCCACTGAAGTAGGTGGGAGCTTTGCCACCAGATTTCAATGGAGATGGAATTTCACCCAATGTGAACAGTACTCTGGAAATATCTTCCCTCCAGACACACTGTGGGAGCTCTTCTGGCTCTGAATACTCACTGGAAACACAGAAAACAAAATTAAACCCAAAGCAAGACAATGCCAGAATGATTAATCAGCAAACAAAGAGGATGCAACAATTAAGCAAAGTATTGTTGAAGTGGGTGGAAAGAAGAAGCTGAGTCCTTTACTTTCTGGACTACTGAACTTTGCCAGGAACACAGAGGGATGCTGGGTACAGGGTGCCACGTCAAGACTGCATTGGAGGTAGTCTGCACAGATTCAATAACAAGAGGAAGAAAAACTTCCAGTGCAGAGTCAGCCTTGGAGTCTGCTCCCATCACTAATGCTATATAAAGAGGCCAGAACCTAGCAACTTCAGCAAAGATTCCTAGAAGCAGTCAGCGTCATCGCCTACAAATTCCCAGGCAGGCTAGTTCACAGAAAGGGCACGCTCAGCATGCTCTGCAGTTGTGTAACTGTGAGGATTCTGGAAATGAGAAGTGCAGTGCCTGAACACAATAAACAGTACCAAAATACCCATGAAGCCCCATCTATATGACAGCTATGAACCGGTTATTTAACCTAGAGTTGCTATCTGATGTTCCCTTTCCACTGGCTTAAAAGTTCAGGCTGCCTAAGGTGCTAAGTTCTATCTTTTGGAGTGTCTGAATCCCTCAAATCCACATAAGGTAGCTGGAGGGACAAATTCCCATCACTGCTGGAACTCGGCCCCTAACTTTCAACTAAAGACATCTTATTTGCTGCAACTCTGCTGCAAAAAAGGACCGAAATGCTCTGTTTCTGGGAAATACTGCAAATTGCACCACTTTGGATGTGGTGATGAGTGGTGATGACAGCATGTAAACTTGCATACACACCACTAATATTCAAGTATTTCTCTCACCGAGATGAGAAAACCAGATTAAGATTCATGTCTATCAATAATGGGTGAGTGACAACAGCTAACCATGCATTAAAACTAGAGTCCTCTGAGTGACGGTGCGTGACAGGTGCAGCATAGGCAGACACACACCAGGTTTTGGAACCTCCCAAGGTCCTTTGAGCTTTCCTCAGGACTCCTCTTTCCTCACAAAACAACTGGAAAGGTCTGTTTTTAGCAGTGTGTCACAAGTCACCCCTGTGATGGCATGAGGTTCACAACCTTCGCTGAGCTCAGGCCATCTCCCAGTTTCTCCTCCCTGTTCTCATCTCCCTCTTTTTCAAATAAGCAGGGAAAACCCCTTTTCACAGTCCTTCCCCAGACCAAATGCCCAGCCTCTTTGAAGTGATGGGCTCTCCTGAAGCTCTATGGTTTGCTGCCTCATTACCCATATGCTTAGGCAGACCCATGGTCTTGGTGTGAGCTCCTAGTCCATGGGCTCTGCTGTCAACCTTCAGGATTGCCCAGTCTTAGCATCTATTGCCCATGTTATTAAAGGTAAGGGGAAAAACAAAGTATTGCAGGTCCTTGCAGTACTCTGCTGGCTCAGAGCAAATTTTTGACCCAGTTACTTAGCTGGCAACTTGGAAAACGAAGAACAAATGTGTTTGGACTTCCACAGACTCTGGAAACAAAACCGCAGGGGAAGGGAGTATCTGGAGAGCTACTGAGCTCTAGTGTGCCCTGGCTGCCTCTACACAATTGTTACCCCTGATGACAAACCAGAAGAACTGCTTCTCGGTGTGCCAAAATTCTGGGATGAAAAGCATGGACTGCCCCTATGGCTGGGCTTCACACCAGGCTGCTGGCTCTTCTCAGCATGCGCATGCAGCTGTGAGTGTAAAGAGGAGTTGCTCACTTCAGGAATGTTAAGAGGGTACAGCTGAGACCAGCATCTAGCTCCTTCTTTAGCTACACTGTGGAACCATGAAGTAAAAATCTTTCTTTCATGGTTTACATCAGCCTCAAACGAATTTAAAAACAATTACTGGAAGGAACAAAATAACATCTCATTTTGAACAGCTCTTGCCAGCACTCAATGAGGCTTGAGAAAGTTGCATGTCATCAGCTGACGGTCTCCCCATGGATGGGCCTACAACCCTGCTCACCCCTTGCTGGATCCAGGACTTACACCATAAAAGAACCAAACCTGAAACCAGCACCTAATCCACAAAGGGAGAACTTAAAAATCCACTTCTCATCACTTGTAGCTAAGGTTGCAAGTCCAGTGTTTCCACAAGCTATTTTCACTGCCACGGCACTGGCTGCAAGAGGAGGAAAAACGTGATTATCAAGTCTCTCCATGAAATAAGGAGACTAATGTAAACCCACTGTAGCCTAGTTCCCTCATCTCTCTCTCCTACCTTTTACACATCATATTATTACTTGTCTTCTTTTTCACTCCCCAGACCCATAGTATTACCTAGAAATGGTTGAAAATACGTAATTTTTTCCAGGACCCACACTGACTCTATACACAAACCTGTATTTTTGTCTACCTCCTTTCAAGTATATCTGATGATTTTCTACAATAGCCTCGTCAATACTAACACACTGACTGGTATCAAACAGATTTACTTTCTACTGATCTGCTATTTTACCTAAAAATAAGGATTTTAGACTAGCACAATCCTCACTCAGAACAGCTGACAACATTCTTTCTAAACTGTCAGAGTAGATTTTTCAAGAAAGAACATAATTTTTAGGAACAGAGTCATGCAGACATTTTGAGAGTTACTGGTTCAAACGGTGCCCCTTAAACAAGAGAAAACGAAACACACTGAAAGCATCCCAAATTCTCCTTTTTTTTTTTCCCCATAAATTGTCAGCATTATTTCGCTACCCTTAGGTTTTCAAGTACAGGAACTCTGACCATCAGTCCTTCTGAAATGAGAAGCTCAAGTATAAACAAATAATCAGACAAGCTTCTGTTGATGGAAGAAGATAAAGGAACAGCAAAACCAGAATTAAACAGTCTTTTTTTCTTGACTAAAAGTGATTGCTGTGTTCACTATTTATTTTATGATATGCAGGTAAGAGTAACTTCCACATAGTAACACGCAGCCCAGTGAGAGAAGGCAGGCCAAAGGACATGTACCAATCTGCTTCACACAGAAGACAGGTGTGCTTCATGGTGGGCTATCTGAACATACAACAAGTATCTGAAGATGACCATAGGTTTATATTGTGTTGTGTTGACTACAATAACTTGTTTCGTCCATGCAGAGGACTCTAATTAGAGTTTGCTATTGAACACATTGAGTTGCACACAGGCTGCAAGTGTTTGCAGTACAGCAGAACATGGTATTTAAATTTACTTACCCTGTATATTTCCGCTGGGCTTAAAGTAAGGCCACTGCTCCAAGTGAAAAAGCCCTCAAAGGCTACTTTCCCCGCACTAGAGATGGGTTTGTGATTCGGGTTTCTAAACATTTATTTCAGTGCAAATTCTGCCAGAAAGAGGAACTTACTGCTTGTTGTGAAGTTACCCTCCCCAGCCTGGGGAAAGGAGTCTACATCTTGGATGACCTGTAGTACTCCCACAGTCCGCACTGGGGGATCCAGGGCTACAGAGCTCTCGTTCACTGTTATATCGCTGGCTCCCGTTATCTGGTTGGTTGGTGGTCCTCCTATAGATGCTTCCAAGTCTGGAGGTATATCATCCATGCAATCTGCATTTGGCTAATGGGAAGAAAAATAAGAAAATTGGGTTTTACTTGATAAAAAAGATTTAATTTACCTGTTGCCACTTCTTTAGGGTTTTTCACTTTCAGTATTGAAAATGGCAACATATGATGAACAAACTTTCAGTTTATTTGTTTTCATGTACTTAATACAATATGTTGGAAGAGAGATCTGAACTATCCATTAGAAATATTCCGTATTAAACTGTGTCATCTATAATCTTGAAATATTCTTATTTATACTTTTTACAGGGTTTGAAAGAATACACATTAAAGAACTAACTCACTTATTGACATGATCTGCTCAACACTGGCAGATTGCTGAGTCAGATTACAAATGTAAACAGAGATTGGAGCTGAAGGGGAATGATTATCTTTTCCATAAATACACATTTTATAGAGCTGGTAACAGAGCTTTCAGGAATAAGGATTCAAGAGAACTGCCTGTGGGCACATCTATGCGTGGGGTGCAAAAACAGAAGCTAAAGCTGTTTATAAGACAAGATTTTTAACATCAAAAGCTCTTTTCCTTTGCTAATGCTGTATTTCCTACAAAATAAAATTATGAGAAAAGAAACACACAACCAATAATGGGAATTTGAAGAGTATCATTTGATCCATAGCTTTTCCTGCTTTGTGGTTCAGAGAGAGCAAGGATGGAACCCAGTTCTGGGGAATTTAGACACTTCTCTTTTGCAGTTACATAGTGAATGCACCGACATCTCCAGCATGAGCCAAGATCTTCAAGTTAAGGGAAGCAATGAGAGGGGTTTGTGGGGCCCACCTGTTGTACAGTATCCTTAGCACTGAGCACTCATAAAGAACACCTAGGCTTCAAGTGGGCACAGGGCAGCAAAGAGGACTGTTTGTCCCAAGATACTATGTCCAAGACTAGTTCCTATCTTTGATTTCTCTGTACCTGTCATATGCCTGATACTCCCGTTTATACAGCAGTGATTTCTGTGGAGCTCCCCATAAACATCGGGGACAAACATATGACTAAAAAGCTCTTTTTCCTCTAAGAGGAAGCAGATTCTTGTGCCATTTGCACACAGAACCAGGTCTAGTTCTCCCCAGGGCATGGAGAAAAATTGTTTGCATAACTATTTCAAGAACTGGATTTAGAAGTTTAAAAAACCAAGGCTGATGCAGAAATGAGGATGCTGTGTGTCAGGGTGCAAAGCTTCCAAAATGACAGCGGGACATAGCCAGGTTGAGCTGCAACTACACAGATACCTTGCTAAGCTAGAAAATGTAAAGTTAAGTTGCTTCCATTTGTCTTTATTCTCCAGGATTCAGACAGCTAATCTGGACTGGTCACTGAGGTTTCCTCTAAATTCAGTGGTTTGAAACAATTTCACTGTGTCATTATCCCACCCTAAGGTAAGTGGTATGAATTGTACCCTCTGCCTTCCTACTGCTCAGTACTAAGCAGAGACGGGCTTCAGCTGCTAGTCTGGAAATCCAACATCTGGATAGATCAAGTCAGAGGAGATGTATTCTGCTCTATGGATATAATTTTTTCTATTCTTAGTTGTTTCACTTGCTAAGGCATTTATGAAAATCTCACTACCTGCCTATCCCCAACAGCAAGCACCTAGAAATGAAGCAAAATATGATACAGCAAAGACTTAAACAGATGCTTAGCTTTAAGCACAAGAGTAATCCCTTTGAACTCAGGCATAGGTTACCATATGCTTACATATTTTGCAGAACCAGAAACTTAGCATGTCTTGCCTTTTCCCATATATTTCCTCTGACAAAAAATTGTCATAGTCTGGCTCCAGTCTAATTCACGAGCAGCAAGAGCTCTTCAGAACATTCAGGAAGGAACATTCAGCTTTTCACCAGGTTTTAATGAAACTGATTGAACTTGTACTTTTCTAAGTGAAATAACAATCATCTGTAAGACTTAGATCCAAAATTATTCCTTAGATCTATCACTCTTTCCCTCACTCCTAGATGTTATAACAAATGCTTTCAGATTTTCATTTTTAACTTTGGCTTTGATGGCTGTGTATCTTAAAGGAAAAAAAAGTCTGTTTTTTCTTCTCTACTATAAGAAAAACTATTTCAAAGTTTTTTTTCAGGGCATCAGTTTCCTGTCCTTTGCTCTGATCCCGATTATTCCTAGAATGTGGTTTTATCACTAACTTTCAAACCTTTTAAAACAGGGAATTACAATTGAAAGCAAAACAAACATTAAAGATGCAAAAACAGCATTGCTCGATATAATTAATCCCTTACTCCTGAATCATTTTAGTTGGAAAAAAGTACCCCAAACTGAGCAGCATACTATAAAACTAATGATACGAAATACTGATAAAAAAAAATACATTATAGCTTTTGCTGCCAGAGTGACCCAGATACATTTGCTAAGTTTAATTATATTGGTTTCACTCATTCCCTGCATGTAAGTGCTTTGAGGGCACAATTCCACTAAAGTCAAGGGAAGGCTTTGTATTGACTTCTGAGGGCTTGGCTAAGGCTCTTAGTGAATAGCTTCAAGTCATCCAGTCAGCTGCCAAAAATGTGGCTGTCTGCATATCCAGCAGATATTTGCAGAAAAGGGGGAGAAGCAGGCGAAACTATTTTATATGACATGATCATCCCAATAGCAATGTAGGTCTCTGAAAGTGAAAGACACTTTCACTGATAATTCACTTCAAATATTACAGCCAAATGAGGTACAGTCTGAGCTGGATTCACCAGCAAAGAGTCAGTGGAAAAGGTTACGCCAACCATTTGCTGATGGATAGTTAGTTAATAGCCCTCTGGAGCTACAGAGTGCCATGGTGAAAAGCAGAGATGTTAGGGTGCTCAGCTACCGTGAAAATGAGTGCAGCCTGGGGAATTTGGTTCTAGCGAAGATAATGTTTGAAGTCTCTGCTACAAAATAAATGGGGAGTTTAGATGTGAAGTGAATTGAAACATTTAGATATTTGGGTTTTAACCAATCGTTTCCTGGAAAATCCTGAGTATTGATGCTAAATGAAGCACAATATATCCAGTCACGCAAACCAGCTCTTTAATAACAACCATAGGACAAACATGCAGCTGGCAGGAAAAAAACCCAGCACATTAGCTCTACCTATGGTAAGATTTCCTCATTCCTCCCATTGTAAAAGCCTGCAAAAGGACTTCGGCAAATTTGTTCTCAAGTCTCCCATCAGAGACTGCTGCCTGCCTGAGGCTGCTTTTCTGTGTGTGAAGTTTCAGCTAAGATGGCTCAGCGAGCCTCAAGAATGTGGTTAGGGAATGGCATTTTGCTCTATGCACTCTACAGAAATGTTTGCCACCTCTCACTGAGAAGCCCTAGAGCTTTACAGCTTCTTCCAGGGAAACATCTTTTGCCACAACAGCCTACTGACATCTGGCTAAGTTACGAGCCTTTGAAATTATCAGTTCACATGTACTGATAGAGGCAGGTACGTTATTCAGGACCAACAACTACACTCTCCAAAGAGAACTGGGCTTTGCATGGTGCCTGCAATCTTATGGTAGCACAAGAGAGCACCCCACAGGACTGATGCCCACAATGGGGTGCCCTCAGCTGGTGCCAGGCAATGGGAAGGGTGAGGATGCCCAATTTCTGTGCAGGTGGAGAAAAGGTCCTGAGAGATGAGCAGGGAGAATGAGCTTTGACACCAGGGCAGGAACTACAAAGGATAAAGGTTGGGCAGGAGAGGTTATACAAAGAAGCAGGAAAGGCGACTGGAGGGGAAAAGAGGAGGAGCAGGAATTGAGGCATAGTTTAGAAAGAGAAGGCAGAGCAAGCAAAGGAAGAGAAGCAACTGGTAGCTGTATAGGAATTTTTAACCCCCAATCTATCTGATGCTCTTAGACTCCCACTTCCTCTGCTGTCAGCTAGAGGAAAGCCTTGACATGAAGGTTACCATCTGCTCCCAGCTTCCATGGACAACATCTCCTACTGTAAGTCACCTTGAGGGGTAAGGCTCTAGCGTGCAGCTGTCCCTTTATAAACCTAATTGATGAGCCATGTGGGTGGGAGCCAGTATGCTCCCACATAAACATGCGGGCTGCTTTCAGTTTATTTTCTTAGAACAACCTAAGGAATTTTTAACATAAATTCATACAATAAAACCCTCTAAGCAGAGGTTGCTAGTGGAACATTAACATTCAAGCACTTGACTTTGAGACCAGCACTGAGGCGGATTCTGAAATCTTACTGTGACCCAGTTGTTCATGTTGGTTTCAGCAGTAATTTGGTTTGGTTTTTTAAAATTTTCTTATTACATGCCCAGTGCAATTATTTCCACAAAAGCTCCATGTGGAAAGCTCTTAGCGAAGGGAGCAGGATGGACCCCCTTCTGTTAAGCAGTACAGGGAAAACTAGATGGAGCTGTGAGAAGAGAAATGATGGCTGAGGAAATTGAATGCCATTTTTAGTTATTCCTGGCAATTAAGTTCTATACCTGCCACCACAGAGCTGTTCACGAGTAGTAAGAATCGGTCACATAAACCAAAACCCTTACACATGGCCTCCGGCCCTTTTTGCTTGATGTACCCAGCCTCACATAGCCTGCGGACACATTTAGCATCCAGCAGCTGCCAGTGAAATCAGTGAGAGAAGTATCCTGGTCTCTTTACATTAGTATGTAAATACTAATGGTACTAAACTTTCTGGGAAGACCTTAACATCTCACTGCAGGCCTCCAGAAAGTAGAGGTCTGCTTTGTTTATATCGCCCGTCTATGAAGCTGGATGAAGAGCATGTTAATGAAATGCTCAGACAAAAATGTGAATGGACCAGTGTGAGAACAGAGATCATAAGGTCCTGTATGGTTCAGAAGAAAGCCATGGAACAATACACTGGGTACAGAAGTGTCAAAATCCTGCATAACTGCTCGTTGGCAGGCCTGTGAACTGAGACATGGAACCTGGGGAAAAATTTCTGTATTACCTTATATGCAGAGATGAATGGCAGAGGCAGCCTTCCTTCTGTTTCTTTCCTGACATCTCAAACACTGATCTAACAGTTGTATCATCTTTTAACATTTTAAAGACAAATACACATGGCTTAGTAGAAAAAAAGTAGCCCAACTGTAATAACATGTTATCCTAACTACAATACTTCATTTTTCCCATTTAAAGTTTTTATCTTAGTTTGTATTAGATTGATTAACGTATCTGCCTACTTCAGTAAAAACATACTTCATCACTTGCTGTGGAAACTCTTCTGCAGCAACCTGCTTGGCTTCCCAGTCTCCATGAAAATGAACTCTTGGAGAATGGCTGTATCAGCTCCCCTGGTATGTTCACATGAGCTATGTTACTTTATATAGCTCTTTCATATGTCAGCGAGCATGTTACCATCTGTAACTGGGGAGGGTATTTACAGCACCTGTTAATGCATCAGCCTATGGTGTTGGAGTACTGAACTTCACTCTCACATGGCAAGCCTTGCACAGTGTGAGAAAGTGACTCACTTCTTCCTGGTGAAGTCCGTCATCTCTGTGATAGCTGTGGCTAGGAAACTGTATGGCAGACAGGAAACACACTATCTGAATGTAAACATGCAACCTAAAAAGATCAATTCCTTTGGCAGCTTCTAATCACATCTGAATGTTCCAAATAACAAAGAGCTTAATAATTTCTTTTATGTCATATGGTTAGTTGCTGGGAGAAATACTTCCTAATTGGGAGTACAGAGATTGCTGGAGATAGACTTTAAGAGAAATCTGACAGAAAGAAAAGATTTTGCTCCCCAGAATAAGCAATTAATTGTCCTCAACTAATATAGCAGGAAAAATTCTACTTGCAGACCTTCTGCTTTGAGATTTGAACCAAGAGCATGATCAAAAAACAAAATCCAGTCCTGATTTAAAACACAAACAAAAGCTATGTGAAAGAACCTATAAATCCACCAAACACCAGCAAACAATCCTCTGCTCCACAAAGCAGGCAACCACAGACACACAAATCCCAACATCCAACCAACCCCCATATACAGGCTCTTCCTTGCTAATCAAAGTGGTGTGAAGAAGAGAGGTAGAACCAGACATTTCAGCTTGTACTCCCCTTAAAAAATCACTAACATGGCAAGAAGAGAAGGATGGGAACAGACAGGCAAAGGGCTAAGGATATATCCAAGTAGCTGGTATTTCCCTCCTGCCCTGACCAGCTGCCCTGTGATGTGCTTACCGGGATCCCTAGAGCTTTTAGAATATTCATTTTACACATCGGGCAGGTACGATGGTCTAGCAGCCAGGGGTCTACGCAGGACTTGTGGAAAAGATGCCTGCAATGAAAACCAGGACATTTTAATTTGAATCCACCACAGCACAATTTACCACCTAGTACCAGACACTTCTGAATTCAGTGAAGTGAAAGTATTTAAAATGGTGTGGTTTGTGACCTCTGCAAGGACAGCAAAAATACATAATATGCACACAAACCTGAAAATATTTCTGTAGCATCTCAAGCACATGAAGAGCACATACATACATAATTGGGGAATTAAAAAAACCACACAAAATGCATCAGCAAAACCCATGTTTTTTAAACGCTAAAGGTCAGGAGACAAAACCTGCTTGATGGTAAAGGTAAAAATTGCATTACTATGTCTTGATGGCTCTGCAGACAAACCTGATTACACATAATTTAAATGTGAAGCCATAGAGGATTAGGTATTTCTTACAATGCAGGAAAGAAAGTGAATTAAGGAAAAAAATCTACTTTTCATTTAAATAGAAAAAACAGGATGATACTTTTTAAAACATTCTCTCTGACTTTGTGCTCTTTAGAAGTTACCCATCAGAGAGCGCTCCTAAACAATTCCAGCCCTGAAGGGGTCAGTGCTAATCCTGTGCTCAGTCTGAAATGACCACTAAGCAACCTCCTAAATCCTATGGCTGCTGGGGGCCACTTAGACATTATTCAGGTGCAGGATCAGAAAGCTTCTTGTCTAGCTTTGCCTGACACAAACTAAGATAGAATATAGAGATATTTAGTGTGTGTACCTGACTGACAGATGTATTTTCTCTTGTGAGCATACTCTGTGGCTTCAGGGAACAAATATTATAAAATGCAGGAATGTGGGGCTCATGATCTAAGAAATGCTGTTGAGTAGGTCAAGTAGAGGAGAAGGGGCTCAGCCCAAGGCCGTGAAGTTTGTTCAGCAACACTTCCTCCAAAGAAAAAGAGGAATATTTCCCACCATGCACACTGCCTCAGAAATTACATTGGCATTTAGGAAACTGAAAATTGACTTGCCTACCTAAAACTCCTTTTTAATCAGTTAGAATAGAATAATTCACTTGAAAAGAGCCTTAGTTCAACTGTCTAATATAACTTAATAACAACAACTTCAGCAAAATTGAAAGAAGGTATCTTATTCTGAAATATGAGGCTCGATATATATACACAGTCTTGCTCTAAAAGGCACAAATTAAAACTAATTTGCTTGTTTTGACACACCAATCTAGATGAGCTCTAGAAAGATTTTCTTTCTAAGGCATGCAACAGGTGTCACCTATTTTACTTGGCAGAGCCTGAAAGTCTCCTTTCAGTCTTCTTGAAGTTTTACATTCTGCTTGAACTTTTAGATCTGTGCAGTCCCCCACCTGGCTTCCCCTGTGTTGCTACTGTCCCAAGCACATCACCCATAGAGCACAGCCACACAAACCCACCAGGTAACCACAGGCTCACAGCTGCCCAAGGACAACTGTATGAGGTTCAACAAGGTTCAGTGCCAGATCTTGCCCTTGGGTCACAACAACCCCATGCAACACTACTACAGTCTTAGGGAAAAGTGGCTGAGAAGCTGCCTGGTGGAAACTGACCTTGGGGTGTTGGTCAACAACTGAATATTAGCCAGCAGTGTGCCCAGATGGCCAAGAAGGCAAACAGCATCCTGGCTGGTATCTGAACCAGTGTGGCCAGCAGGGCCAGAGAATTGCCCCCCTGTGCTCAGCACTGGTGAGGCTGCATCTCGGATACTGTGCTCAGTTGTGGGCCCCTCAGTACAAGAGACATTGAGGTGCTGGAGTGGGTCCAGAGAAGGGCAACAAAGCTGGTGAAGGGTCTGGAAAACAAGCCTTATGAGGAACAGCTGAGGGAACTGGGGTTGTTTAGTCTGGAGAAAAGGAGACCTTATTACTCTCTCAGATAACCTCTACCTGAAAGGAGGTTGTAGTGAGGTGGGTATTGGTTTCTTTTCAAGTAAGAAGTGACAGGACACAATGAAATGGCCTTAAGTTGCACAAGGGTAGGTTTAGATAGGCTGTTGGGAAAAGTTTCTTCATTGAAAGGGTTGTCAAGGATTAGAACAGGTTGCCCAGGGAAGCGGCTGAGTCACCGTCCCACTGACATAGTTTAATAAGACTTGGCAGTGATGGTTGGACTTGATGATCTTAAAGGTCTTTTCCAATCTAAATGATTCTGTGATTCTAAGGCTCCACCTGGAGCACACACCAGCCTCCACAATGACATACAATCTCTGAGAAAGCCAGAATCACTTAATAAGCCAATTTTAAATATTTACATGGTACGTATTCAGCTGAATGGGCTGGCTGCTGTATTGTGTCCCAGCCTCTCTCACACAAGGCACGCATGGGCTTTCAACTTTATCTAAGATATTGAGGTGTACTTTCACCTCTATCTATTTGTAACCCTGACTCTTACTAACATGGTATCAGCCGGCATAGTAGCTGGCTGGTGTAATAGCTGGCTTCAGGCCTAAATAACAGTAGAAATTCAAAGCCAAAACTGTGTGAACTCAGCGTCTTATTCTTTTAAATGTTTTTTCTCACTACTTCTAGATGAAATGGGTGCTTTGTGAAACAAAGCTATATGGCAAATTATTGCATTCCTGTACTTGGCCTGACTTTGCACAACTACTGGCAAAGGGCAACTATGTTCTTGGAAGTTCAGCCTAGTCTAATTATATCAGTTGGCTGTAATACCAAACTTTGTTAAACCTCATCTGATCCTGTATGTCAACATGATGAATGCAAATGAAGCGTTGTGATACGTGAAGTTTAAACCACTCTACTAAGGCCATGAAAGTTCACAACCCTCCTTCCAAACAGAATTTGCCTTAATGGATAAAAAGCAACAATGCACCAAATTTTGTTGTCTCTCCTGTGTAACTCTTCATTTCTGTCATCTCAGGAGGGACATACTCAGCCCATCATAGGGCAAGCAGCCTGAATAGGAGAAAACAAAAAAGTACAGTCCTCAAGCATGTGTAATTTTACATTTATAAGTCTAATCAACAGAATTCCTTGGGTATGTTAATTCATGGAGGGTACTGAAAGTCAACATCGTGTTTTTCAGCTATTTGGAATAATGATGAGATTCTTGATAGTGATTGGTTTTCTTTAATTATATACTGAAATCCATAAAGAAATATGCTTAATGGCAAACATCTGAAGCATGTTTGTACCAAAATAATCAGTACATTTACAAAATCTAAAATATTTATTATTCTCTTGGAAAAAAAAAAAATAAATAAAAAATCCCACACCAAAACCCAAAGAGATTTCCAAAATCTGTTTTGGATTAAAAGAACCCAAAACAACAAAAGTAACTTCTACCAAGCAATTTTACCATAGACTAGAAAGCCTCCTTTTGTTTTCCAGTTCAAGCTTTGTAAGCCTCAGTCAAGCTGTGGTTCATATTACAGCACTTCATAATGTCTGTTAATCACCAAAAGCTTGGAACAAGCCCTAAAGACTTGAAAAACTGAAGTTTAGTGTACGTGAAGCTGGCTTCAAAAACTAATAATCTAAAATAAATCCTACCATTTAAATACATGACAGATCATGTCACTTTGCACTTCTCAATACTAAATCAGCACAGTGTAGTATGGCTCTATTAATTTCAGATTTAACATGCACAACAGAACTTGACTATTTGACACAAATTTATGGGGAAATGGAATGTTATAAAAATCAGATAGATTTGAATTTTTTAATTTTTGTACCACATTATATGAGTAGAGGACTCATAATAACTAATTTTGAACATGTAAACATTTGTGCAGAGAAGTGAAGTGGCAGGCTTTGCAGACTTGGATCTGAAAGCTTATTTTATTCTGACAAATAAGCCTGATAAGTTTATCATCCAAATTAAGGCAAAACAAGGGTCAGCCCAAAGTAAGATGAGAGCAACTGCAATATTTCACTGTCACATGGTAAGACGATGATGTAAAAAGATCAATAGAAAGAAAAATCCCTCTTCTTCTGAAATTCTGACGGTTTTAAAAGAAAAACTGTTTTAAAAGAGAAGGGTTTTAGAAGAAAAGAAAGGGTAGAAGCACCACGGATGAGTTCAGAAGTAAAGACCCATACAGGGAGACACTAAGAGAGATATTTCAAGTACAGACTCCTGACATGGCTTTGACAATCAGAGTCAGAGCTAATAAAAAAATGTGTGCAACCACAGGCATTGCAAAACTATGTTCATTTGGATGGGTTGAAAAGTTTCTCAAAAGACCTGTACTTGATTAGTTGAGAGGAAGGCGAGAGGAGAGGAGATCTCGTAACAATCCTCATACAAAACAAAGGCTTTCATAAAGAGAAAGGAAACAACTGTTCTTCAGCTCTCCTAGGGATAAGAGATGAAATGATGTGTTTAAAGTGCAGCAAGTGAGACCCAGGTTACACAACAGGAAAAGCTTCACCACAGTCAGGGTAGTGAAGCACTGCAATAAATTATCAGGGGAACTGCAGAGTCTTCATCCCAGGAGACTGCAGAGTGTGTTGGAAAAAACTCCCAAGAACAACACGGACAGTGTCCCTGTGCTGTTCCAGAGGTGGTGGTGGCCTCCTGGGATCCCTCCTGCGTTCCTCTGTGACTGCATGTGCCTGAGTAAAGCTCACAGAGCACAAAGAAAGGAAAAGAACCTCAAAGTCCCAGCACATTTCATTTACTATTAACACAACAGCACTTTGTATTTCTGAACTGGACGTTACTTTTGTTTGAAACGTACTTAAATTTTCTGTAAAGCTGCAATTTTAATCATACAAGAAAAAAAAAACAATGTCAGGCTAATCGCAAAATTATACTACTAATATGATCGTTGTAAAACTATTGTAAAGCTTTCAGATTGCCAACAGTTCTGAGAAGCTTTTTTTCCAAGTTAAGGGAAACTTAACTGTTCTCTTCCCACCTCCGACTCCTAGTCCTACCTTTCCAAACTGCATGCAAACAAACCTAGTAGTCATGTCATTTTTCTCAAAGCGTGAGCTAAGAGAAAAGGAGACAAAAGCAGAAAGAGAGGTACATCCCTAAGGACCCTGAGTAACAGCATCATGCCTGGACCAGAGATAGGGCTGAAGCAGAGGATTGAGAAGGGTTTTGGTGAGCAGCCCTGTAGTATTCAATTAGAAGATTTGAGAGCTTTTGAGGGTTCATGTACAGTATTATTTGTTTATTTTTGAGGAAGAAGGAGGGACAAAAGATGATGATGAGGGTAAATGAAAGGAAGGAATCAAAGGGAAGAATGTGATGAAATAATTTTCACGGGAGGACTGAGGATGAGCCTGATGACTGAAGCAGTTTCTGAAATCATAGTTGTTCATGGGGAGAAGGTTTAGAGGAAGGGAGTGAGCTGGAATGGTTAGAAAGTGTGTTTATTGGTGACAGAAATGAAACAACAAAAAAAAGAGCTTATGAAGAACTCAGTAGAGATGAGGTTGAAAGAACTGGTTTGCTCCCTGTAGAAGTTTAGTAAATGTTCAGTAAAAGGCATGCAATTGGAGCACCAGCACTAGCAACTTCCCCAAAGCCAGAGCAGAAAAGACAGAGGCTTTTTGAAGCTAGAGATGGAGGACAAGGAGAAGGAACTAGGGCTATGACAAGAGATATCACTCTGGGAACAATGAACTTGGTTACATTTGATGTTGTGTCAGTGCCCTCGAAGATAACTTCAGTGATGCTTGCTACCATTAAACATAAAAACAGCTGAAAGCCAACACTTTTTTAAAAATCAAGTGTCAGTACTTATTTAATACATGCTGTAGAGTGAAGTTTATTGATACAGTCAGTGGTGAGAGCTGGCTAAAGAGGGCAGAGAGGAAGAAGCACAAGTTAACTGGAATTCTCCTAGCTCTCCAGAGTGGAATACATAACAACAGGCTATCCCAGTGCCATCTCTCTGCCAGCGGAAAAGAGAGGACATTAGGGGAAACAGCACAAGTACAGTAACCATCTATCTATATGGCTTCAGAGCTCATCCACTGCAATACTGGCTGGTGGGCTTTTGGTACCAATTTCTTAGGAGATTCAGGCTCCACCAGCCTTAAAAAGAGATCTTAAGATACACAGAGCTTTGTAACAGAGTGTGCCTGCTAGCAGGTTTTCCAAAGTACAGTATGCAGTATCGTATGCAGTACAAAGCAGCATATTTCATGTGCAGCTCTTGGGGAATATTTGGCTTTGCAGATAAAAAGTTCTACATCTTGAGCACCCCCTGTATAGAAACACTAAGGTCAGCCAGCACTGGTGTCATACTGTGCTGGCTTCTGTAAGGCTTGGTGAAATGCCAGCTTCTTATTAAACAACAGTCTAATGAGTTCCCATACTAGAAACAGCACACAGTTTAACTGAGGATGCTGGAGGAAGAAACCTACAGAGTTTGTAGGTCTTTAACACTCTCCTACTCACTTAACAGAGACAAAAATTAATATTTCCCTTCCCCCCCCCCCCCCTTTTTTTTTTTTTGGATGAGGAGATGAGACTGGCAACAGCAGAAGGAATCATGACTACGATTTCCTATCTTGGAAGTCCAAACCCATGTGAATGTGTAAAATACTGCCCTCACAATTTATGTAGCAGAAAAGCCAGGGTTTGTGAAATAGCTGCTTGAGAAAAATCTTTTGAGTTTTTATAATTCAAAATTGCTGAGGCTCAAACTGTGAGTATTTTACCAGACAGTTCTGCCGCTGCTACCCTTTTAGCATGAGTCATTTTCTAGGCGACCTTTTAAGTCAGCCAAGAGCTGAACATCACCTGTTAACTATGTGTTTCCTATTCACTCTGTTTGACTCAACACTGTGGATGACAGTCCGACTGCAGCCTCATTGAATTAGGAGGCGAGACACAAGTGAAAGCTACAGCATTTTTTGCTGTTGTGTAACTACCTCCAAAAACTGCCTGCCTCTATCATACAAAATTTTCAACCTTTATTATGCTTCTCTGAAAACAGTCTTGATGTCAAACCAAAGTCCACATTTTCTGGTAATTTCTCATTTTTCTGTATTTTTGCCTCATCAAGTGATGCATTTGTGTCTGTTTGTAGAAAGAAAAAAAAAAAAGAGTTCACATGCATTTGTCATTGTGGGGATTTACAGTAGGTCAAATCTATGATGAATCTGTTGCTTTCAGTTTGCCATTTAGTGATGGCAGTAAACAGATTTAATGAGTCACATGAACGAACAGAAATGGACGGCTTGTAATACTCGAGTATCTACTAGGGAACAACATAGCAGGAAAAAACCCAAATATTTTGGTTTCTAAAGCCAGTGAAAATGCAGCAGAAGAAACTATTAAACAAAAAAAAATATTTTCTGCTCTGTATGTACAGCATTTGAGATTCCTATTTCTAGGAAAATCAAACACTTGCTCTTGTTCTCCTAGAGGAATAATTATTCCTAGGAAGCTTCCTAAGAAATTGATCCTTAGAGAAATCCTGATTAGCTAACACCTCACAGATGACACTACTGTGGCACAAAGAGATGAATACAACTGTTACAGGTGGCAAAAAGCTGTGCTCCTGTGTCATATCACTATTACTCTATGTGCTGCACAAGTCATTCACATGAAGGGAAGAAAAGAGAGAGAACATGCCCAGTAGCTCTTCTTGTCACCACCATGTCCCACATGCCTGAGAGTATTTTCATGGCAGCAATAGGTAACATGGTCTTTGTCACGTTCCCTCTTTGCTTTACTCAGCATATCTCTTTTAATGGCTGGGTTCTTTTCTTGTTTTGTTTTGTTTTATAGAAGTCATCCCTTTCTCAGCACCTGGGCATGGCCCAGGACAGCAAAAGAAGCAGCTCCATGGGGAGCAGAAGCCTGCTCTATCCCTGGCTGCTGTGCCCAGGTTTCAATTTGGAGTCAGGGCAAATTCTTCTAAGGCACTTATTCTGGACTGATATAAAACCAGTGAGGAAAAGAGAAGAATCAAAACTTTTAGTTTAAAAATCCTACTGAAGACCCTGTAATAGGTCAAGATCAGACACAATTTCTGACTATCACTCTAAACTCAGGTTCTCACCACCATTAATACTACTTCACTTGAAGCTGAATAAAGAGGCATTTCAAACATCTTTATCACCCGATTAATAAATAATAATATAAATCAAAATTAAAAACTTGCCCATCTCTCCCCAAGCTCTCAGTGTGACCCTGTCAGAACAGAGCCTGTCTGTAAGTAGAGAGACTATCAAGAGCACCTTCAACTTACCTGCAAGGCAAAATTCTGACAACATCATTGGGCTTGTAGCCTTCAATACAAACAGCACAGTTATCAAAGTCTGGCTCAGTTTCCTACAAAAGAGAACATTCATAATTTGCATTTTCTTGATTTTATCAGCTAATTTCTTCATTCAAGAGCCTATGTGGCAAAGTAAAACTGTCACTGATGCATGCTGCAAATCCACTAATGCATTTCAAGACAAGCAAGTCAGATTTTCCAACGTGTTTCCAGCTGGAAACGTGCCCTATGAAGCATGCAGATTTAGTTAGCATGTTTTAACTTTCAGGATTTCCTACATCTTTACAGAATCCCCTTCTCCCTCTACTCCATTCCATCAATAAACTGCTTACCAGTATTCCATCTCCACCCCTCCCCTTGCCGTGCCTGAAGGACACCCAGTAGCTAAATAAGCAATTGCCATGCCTGTTCTTTCTCATTGTCCCAGTGGTCTGAAGGAACCCTAAGCACAGAGTTTCATTTGGTAATGAGCAATTTGAAAAATTACCTTATCACCTTTCCTGATTGTTCTGACTTGCAGCTTGCTGATTGCTTTCTTTGCAGCATCTCCAAGCCGGCGCTGTAATACAAAATTTGCTCTTTAGCAAAGACTATCTCTTAGCGCAAAAATAATCACCTTTTCTCCCTAGGCTTCTTAATAATCTGAATTGACTGTTCATGAAACAGGACAGTGTTGTGTAAATACAAACAGATGAGGTCAGTCATACTGCTATTCCCAGTAAGGGCACAGCAGGTATTTCAGGCTTGCGGATAACCAGTGGATGATGAGGCAAAGCTAGTCTTAACAGAGTTCCAGTGGAGGCTGCACGTGAGCCCATCATGATGCTACTCACTCTCCCAGTGAATAGCAATGTATGTAACAAGTCCACTATTCATGTACCCCACTTCTTCCCTCTCTTATTCTAATGACATTTGTAAAAAATACATTATTAAATGAATGCCTGGGGTACTAAATAGAGTGAACACAGGACTTAAGATTCAGGTCTTTATTTGTAAGTTGTTCCAGTTCCAGTTGTTTCAGTGAGCTGTTAATTTGTTAACCACAAACCCCATTCTCTGCTGTTCTCTCCTCCTGCAATACAGTTGCCTACGTTATAGGAGCTTTATAGCTTCCATGCTATAAAAATGAGGCAAAAGCATTTGCCTTTTCTTACAGGTAAAGCACTACACAGTCCTGCAGTGACACCATATCCATACCTAACCATTTGCTTGTTCTTTGCCTTTCTGTCTTTCCCTCCAGCAGGCCATGAATTGCATACCATGTGGTATTTCTGACTGTTCCCCCCTATTTCCAAAATACTGTGCTGGCAGGGTCACAGCCACTCAGGACTAAAGTATGTAACCACAGCCTGACGCAAAACACCCTGCTGCTCGCCAACGCTGAAGATGGAGATGCGTGCCTTTTCCAAGAGTCTAAGAACACTGTGGGGCAGTTCATACAATCATGGCTAAGCAGAGCTACCCCTATACGCTACGTAGTTGAGCTTGTGCATGCATCAGTGCTCCAAGAACTTGGCTGCTCACTTGTGCTAACCAAAAAGCGAGGCAATCTGAAGACAGTCTCACAGGCTGGAAAGGTCTTTGAGAGGTCATGTACTCCCACTGCCTGCTCAAGGCTGGGCCGACTTCAAAGTCAGAGCTGTGTTCAGTCAACTTTTGACTATGTCCAGGAAGGGAGATTTCACAACCTCTGTGGATAATTTGTTCTAGTGCTTAACCACTCCCACAGGTTTTTGAGGTTTTTTAACATACAAAAAAGAATTTCCCTTGCTGTAATTTGTGACCATTACCCTTGCTCATTCTATGTGCACCTCCAAGAAAAGTCTGAATGCCTCCTCTCCAACCAGCCATTATGCAGCTGAAGGCTGCAAGCACAACACTTCCTCCTCTTCTGCTCCTCTCCTTGGCTTAGCCAGCTGAGCTACCTCTGCCTCTCCTTTAAGATCATGTGCTCCTGTGCCCGGACCATCCTCTGGTCTCTCCATTTTTTTCATGCCTTTCTTGCACAGTTTCATGCAGCAATGATTACTCCAATGCCTTCTCGACAGTTTTATAACTGTTCATGATACTGTCCATCCCAATTTGCCACCAAGAAATGATCTGAATTCTTCACTTCCCCTCTCTCATACACATTTCCAGCCATGTGTTGTTAGATGAGAGAGAGACTTGGGAGCTTTGGTAACTCAGGAGACATTTAACTTTTCGGGCTGGGAATACTGCCTGTGCTGGAGTTCAGAGGGGCCTGTCAGCAGCAAGGGTTTCCAGCTGGAGGGGAAGCCTAAGAGCATGAAGCCAAAAATGGAAGGAAGCTGGAAATAGTTTGTAAATTGAGAGCTAATCACCATACAGATGCAATTAATAAATTACCACTTTGTTCTTCAGATTCAATTAAAATCACTGAATTAAATTTAGCGAGTAAGCTTATTGGATCAGAAAGACATGGAAGACTGACAAAACGCATGCAATACTGAAAGCAGAGAGCAATCTTAGATCTGGTTAAAGAGGTGAAAATGATCTTGGCTGTCATACGAGATTTACATACGAGCTTTCCAGCAGAACTAATTATTACATGTGAGGGTATATCTTGTAGATATACAACATCTTTTTATGTGATACATTTTTCTCATGGTCTCCCTTAGATAGAGGGATCAGACGAGAACTTGGAAACATTTCTTGCTAGCTATTTGTTTCTTTAATATAAATCAAAGAGAGACTGATAACATGCAGCAAGACAAGAGCCATTATGTCCTGCTTCAGGAATTGCTTGTGATTCCGTTTTATCATTATTATTACTTAAACTAATGAAATGTCTCTGTTCTTCTTTTTTTACACATTCTTCAAGGGGAAAAGACAAGATTAAAGACTCATGTACATCTTTGATCTGGTTGTATTCATGTTTGCTTTTTCTTATCTATCATACATAGACAAGTTCATGACTTAGACATAAATGAGAATAATTTAGTTTTTTAAAGAACAGGAATATCTTGGAGTAAAGTCATACTTTCAAAAGGTTCTTCCTTTTGAATGAAAGGCATGCTATCACTAACCCATGATTTCACCTGAAAGATAAGAGGCGTTACAATAATTTAATGGTTTAAAGTAAGGCTTAGTCAATCTCATTAGCAAGGCTGCAACACTCAGGACTGGAAGGAGTTAAGCATATCAGATCCAGTGATCTTTTGGAGGTGGTTGAAAAGAAAGGCCAGTAGCATGGAAAGCATTACTGGTCTGTTTCTGAAGAAGCAAATGGCCACAGATGCTATGGAAGAGAAATTATGGTAACTGCTTCTCTCTTAATGGCCTTACTAAATTATCATCTTTGCAGGGAGAAGATTGTCTTGTACCTTGCACAGAACAAAGTGTACCATTGGGATGAGGCATCAGACACACGTCCTGTACCACAGATAAAGTTTATGGACTCCACCATGGGAAGCATCTTCCTCAGACTGCTTTGAAGATACGTCTCTATTCAGTGACACAAACCTGTCATTCAAAGCCCCAGCCAGCAGTCTTCCTTCTCAGATAATTACTCGACCCTCCACATGCTGCTAGTCACATACTAAAGTAGGCCCTTCACCGGATATTAACCCAGGACACACAGTACTCTCCTCAGCCCTGGTGCAATCACTGCCTGCTTCGGCTTTCACTATCCTGCAAAGCTCATAGAGCCCATCAGGTTTCAAAACAACTTTATGGAAAACTTCTTAACAAGAAACCAGTGAGAAGAAACGACATAGAGTAAATATGGCCAACAGGTCTGGCACTTAAACATCATCCCTTCACCATCTTCCCATCTCCCGTTTCACAGACAACAAAAAGGACTCTACTACTCTGCTATCACTGGTGAAATATGAAATCTGACACACTGACAGGACTGTTTTGTTGTTTGTTGGGCTTTTTTCTTACAGCCTCTGTCCTGCTGTTACATGGCTGAGACAGCAAGTGACATTTTTCTGAATTATCTCCAGGACTTAGCTTGTCATGTAATTCCAAACTGCTTCCAATAAGCAATGCAAGCTGGTGTCTCTTGATGCAAACAATTCTTACAGTCTTTCCACAGAGAAACCCTCTCATCTTCAGGAGGGCTCCAGGAACAAGCCACTAAGGAGCCATATTGCCTATGCTTTCCTTACACAAATTTAGCCTCTTTAGATCAAAAGGGCATATTATCAGGATAACCACCTACTTCCTGGACATCTTCTTAGGTGGGAAAAAAGTGGACAACTTGGATTTTCATCCTTGTGAACACTGCTACATATCTTCTACTTCCACATGTACCGTAGATTTGTCTGTGGTAGAGATACTCTTAAAAAATTGAAATCTAACAATATCTGTGGCTAATACCTTGGCTGTAGGTGCACAAGCCTACAATGGAAGACAGTTTTGTTCTCCACTGCATTCATTCCCAGCCAAGCTGGAATGAATGGGCCAGGGCGTTCAGTGAGAATCCTTTGACATCCTGAGCTCAAAATCAGGCACCTAACTGGAGGGAGCTGTGTCTTCCTTCTGGCACATGAACCTGGATTTTGCAGACATAGTGAGGAACAGCAGTGGCTGAAGATGTACATGCTGTATGTCCAGGTTTCATCTCACTGGGGAGTCACAGGAAATGATTCCAGGTTATTCTTCGGTCTTTCTAGCTCTCAGTTGCTGGACTCATTGCTTTCCTGATGGATAATTAAATCAGTTCCTTTTGAATTTATGGCTTGATCAGCAACTTATGCTGTGCGCAAGAAAGGAAGCGGACCCGGAAATAAGGATCACCATTTAAAAAAGGATAAGAAGGCAAAGGTGGTTATGAAGCCTGTTAAAACACATGACACTTTCCATCAAAGGAAGACATAGTTGCAATGGGTCAGCTTGGAAGAGGCAAAGTAGAAGATGACTTAGGGAGACTTGGAGTGACTGAAGAAGGATGTTCAGAAATCTTGCCTTCACGTAACAGTGCAATGGCCTTCCTTCTTGGAGGTAACGACTTTTTCTGCCACCTGTATTTTGCAGTCAGCCACACTGTCCCATTCCCTCAGCACATTGCCCAGATTACCAATCCAGAGGAGGCTGAAATACTCCTGGAGGCAACTCCAGTATCAGCCAAACACAGGAAGGGCATGTAGGACAGAGGTAAACTAAGAGGTTGATATAGGTAGACACAGAAAGCCTGGGCCCTCACAATCCTTTTCTATCACTTGGATGTCAAAATGAATTTAAGATGCTTTTTTTCTTTTTTAATTTTAAGTGAAGTCTGATAAATGAGTCACAGATTTTTGCACTTTCAGAACAGGGCAGTCATTCTGCTGAGTTACGAGTTTATCGCATTACAGGATAGGAACTGATAGCACAACTTCCTCTGAACAAGCTGGCTCCTCCTCCATCTGATGCTCTGTTTATGCAAACATTTCAGCCTTTGGCTTAGCCTGAGTACATCAAATATAAATAGAAGGAAGCATCTTTCCTAAAGATGGCTAGTAAGGAAGGTGCTTACAACACATGCAAGGTTTTTCCCACAAGTAAGCACAACACCTTCATACAGACACATGCAAGTTATAATGGCAATAACTTCTGAGCACAGTGACAAAAAAATCCTGCTCCAGCAAAGCAACACAGTTTGTCTTGGATATATCTGAATATACAAGATATTAACACAGAACTTTGTGATCCCATCCTTTTGCTATAAGAAAGCCTGTTAAAGAAAACAGGTGAACAAGCAGAGCTTAAAGTGAAACAGAGAAACCCTCATGGAAAAGGCAAAAGGAAGATAAGCTCTTCTGAACTACCTACACTATTATATTCCATAGCTAGGACCAAAATTAAAAAAAAACATAGCAACTCATTAACACAAATGGTCAAGCTTTGTCTGTGTATTGCTACCGCTTTTCATATGAAAAGAGCTAATAAAGAGATAAGAGATGTCAGGCAAAACTGGATGGAGAAAATATATGGAGAAATTCTAGCTTGCCCCGTATCATTATTACAGCTTTGGCAAAAAAATAATAATAAATAATTGCTTAGGAGGCCTGCTTTGTAATTCTTCTGAAGAAGAGAACTAGTATAATAAGAGTTATTAAAACCTATGCAGAGGACACCTGCTTGTGCACATGTTAATCTCATTCAGACTTTGGAAAGAAAATGCTGAAAAGGAAAGCTGCTTGAACATATAAACCCATCAGTTCCAAACTATAGCATATTACCTGAATGAGCTACTTATTTTGCTGGGTTTCATGTTTACATATGTCTATTTACACTGCTAATCTGCTGTATAATTACTTGATTGAAAGCACACTTACGGTACTCACATACATAAATTAGGCACACGTGCTTTTGCAGCCAAAGCATCTAAAAATTATCACAGCCATCACAGTCACAGTGAATCTGCTGCCAGTGATGTTCAAATTCCAGCTGGGACAGTCTCATTCCTGCTATCCAAAATTTCATGCTGTATATTTAAAGGAAAATACATTCTTTCTGTCTGTAAATACAGAGCAGCTCATCTCTATCTCAGAGGATGCCTGAGTTTTAGTAGGGGAGAGGGAGGGATCCCTATAAGTTAAGTATATATTGCAAAGTGTGTCACAATACTTCACAAGATAATTATTAACACTCTCAGTTTTACTTTTTCTGCAGAGCAAGCAAGGCCACTGTCGCCTACCCTGACAGTAATTTATTAAGGGTCCAGAAACATCTCGGAATTACAGTGCATTTTTTCCCTGCAGTAAGGTGGCTATCTCCTCAGATTTCATACACTGAGAACATTTTATACTGCATCATTAGAATGAAATGTAGAAGCCTCAGCTTCACAGGTCTGCTGATGCCGAGATAGTTGCATCCAGACAAGAAAAGATTAAATTTATTATTATTATTGCTATTATTATTCATTGCTGAACTACCATAAAGATGCACAATGCCTTATAAATGCAGAGTGCCTCAGGACCTAGGGCTCATTCCCACTGCTGTTGATTTCTCTCCAGCTCGACAGGTTTTGTACCTTTTTCAAGGGGTTTGGACAAGACGCCAAAACAAAAAACAATAGTTTAATAATACAGGTGGCTATCACTACAGCATTTACATATCATTGTCAGAACAGGGACATGTTGCCTTTCAAGCCCAAGACTTTTCTGAAGTATTAAAATTAAAACACTCTTTATTCGTTTTTAATTTCTTCTTCTATTGTGAACCCTTGTTTCACATATAGACATTTACATACCTCACTATATTTTAGCCATCATTTTGATCTCAATGGTCATTAGCCATATACATTCTATGTCACTTAGGTATAAAGGCAATCTTTTCACTAGTAAACATCGAATTTCTGTCTATTTCTTGTGTGTTCTGCATGACAGAAAATCCCCATAATACATACACATTATATTTATTCATTTATTTTTTCCTGAATTGCACCTATATTGACAGAAGTCTTGGCTATTCCCAAACACAGGCATTTTTTTATCCCCATTCTTTTTACTTCCTTGCTTTTCATTTTGGTTTAGATATTTTACCACACACTCACAATTTCCTCAACTTTTACTTGTAAACTGATCTCATGGTGATTTTTTTGAAACACAAATAGCCATTCAGCACCGCTCACCTGATTTCTGTCTCTGGCATTTGCGTAGCGGAATCGCTGGATGTAATAGAAGACCAGCCATGCCAGAGAGATGATCATCAGCACAATGAAGGAGATGGAGACGAACACCACAGAGGTCCGGCTGACGTACTTCTGCAAGTTGCGTGTCCCAATGGTTATGTACATCATCACAGTAATGTTCCTCTCCAGGAGGCTAACTATCTCTTTTCCTTTGGGTTCAGGAATCATTATTGCTACAACATCTTCGAGGCCTATCAGAAAGAAGAGACAAAAAAGAAACCTTAAGTAAAACAAGTGACTGCCAAAAGGCAAAACAGTAACAAAAAAGCTCCCCTTTTTCCTGTTCTTCCCTCCTGCTCACTAAGAGGTAAGTCAGATGTATCTGGTAAAGTTTTCAACTAGAATCAGTTATATAGGGTGCTTCTGTGAACTAATCTCTGTGAGATATATAAAACATGTTTCATGGGTTGATATAAACACAGATTTCCAGCGCTACTGAGGCTTATCTAGACAATATTGTTGTAAGCACTGCAGAAAGGGAGAGATGCGGCAGTCAGTACCCTTCCATTCAGCACTCCAGGTACGTTTACCATAGCCCATTTTGCAGGGTCACGAGTCTGCCAGAGAAGCACCTCTGCGTTCAGATCAGAAATATTTTCAATCACAGATCTCCACGTGGTTTCATAACCTGAACATCCCAAAGCATCGCTGCCCTCACCCAGGGCTGGCAATGGGAGATGACTGCAGGGACACAAGCAGCTTGACATGTTCCCAGCTCACCCGCTGCCTTGTGCCACCAGGTGCTCCTCACAGCCTTTAAACTATCACTTTATGGCTTACTATTAGGGTTATTCTTTCCACTTCTCAAGACAAGTATGTAGACAATTTTTACAACTAAGCTCTGTTTTGCAGTAGTCAGATCCTGAACTGTATTAAGTGGCTAAGGACAAACAGGATGTATTTTCTGCAGAAACATGCTAGAAGCAACAGCATATGAAATGATCGCAAACTGGCATTTAGAAAGAAAGGTAGAAACTGGGGGTGTCTGAAGCCAGGGACAATGCTGAGGTGGGGTTTCAGAGTTCCAGCTGAAATCCCAGGAAATGAGTCAGCACATTGCTACCCCCCCAGCTACCTGTATTTTGACTGTGGCAGGACAAAGTGCTGCCCACCTTTGAACATTCATGGAGGTGGGAAGGGATTGCTGGGCTGTGAATGGAGATATGAGAGGGTAACTTGTGTTTTTAAGCAGCATCCCCCTCCAAGCTGATATCCAACCCGAGCTTCACTGGGGCAGCACTATGACCTGGTCCTCATGCTCCAGCCCAGACATTTCACCACTGAAAAAACCCTGGGGGTCATGAATCCTATTTTCAAAGGGATGCTAAAGTCCAGGAGGTGTCTAGCAGGGTTTCAGATATATTTTCAGTGGAAAATGCTAACTGTGGTGGAAACTATCAAATTCTGCTGGGTGCCTGGATCAATCTGAGGTACTGAAATTGCTGTGGCAGACTGTGGCTACTTGCACACCAAACCTGCTGCAAAGTTGGAAACTGAGCCCCCCTCTCTCAAGTCTTGGAATAGAAGTGCAACCACCACCACGCTTCCTCTTGTGAGACTTCCCATCATAACACTTGCCTGATTATGAACAGGCCGGTCAGTGAATAGGAGGAAATCAATAGTTTGGCTGAGTCAAGAATTTTAGGTATCCATGATAGGAAACTTAAACTTTCTGCTCGTACTCCTCTATAAAGCATTAATAATTTTCAGCTATTTCCCTTTATTTGTCTAGTAAGAGCCCACCTTCAGCAGCCAAGAGAAATCTACCTTTGCAACTCTTCTGGCCCCTGCTTATTACAAAAGGCTAATGCAAGCATTACCCTAATAGCATAGGGAAAATTTGCTATGTCTCAAAGTGGCTGAGTAGGGCACTGGTGCCATGCCAGTAATTTTCCTGCAGTCAATAAGACAAATTCTCTGGAGCAGTGCTTAGCTGTCCACATGCCTGCCTTTGTTCTCTTTGCTTTCTTTTAAGAAAATAAATACTATAACATCACTCTATGAGAAAACCAAAGCAACCACCTCACACACAGCAAGAGAACCTTTAGTGAAAAATCTCACAGCTGAAAACACTGACATTAATTTCATCAATTCCTCCCAAAAGCCACAATTTTGACCTATTCACTTTTCCAGTGACCTCTAACATCATCAGTACAATGTGGGATGTACAATTTCAGGTACGTATATGAATGCCTATGAAAATGGGAGATACAGACAGAAACATTTTCAGTTGAAAATATAGGTAAAGTATTTTAACTTTCCAATTATCTTCAATCTTAAATGTCTTTTAAAATCTTATCAGTTTGTTTAATTATGTTTAATTCAACTCAGTATAGCTTAGTATGCTTTTGGAGAGCTGTAAATAAAGGGCTCAGACCAGATATGTATGACACATTGCAAATACAGAAACACATTCCATTGTTCAGTTATAAAATTAATATTTTTGTAATAACAAAACAAGCACCCACAGTAATGTCCTATCTTCCTTTAATGGAAAAGTAATGAAAAAGGGGGGGGGGGGGGGGGGGGGGGAAGTGATCTCCTGAACAAATTTAACCTCATTCCTTTTTTTCATCACCTGCCCTTTCTGATTAAGCTACAGCACAGCTTTCTGGCTTTGATTCACAGTGGAAATATCTGGTTTTGAACAGGAGCGCAGCTGTACAATTCCCTCTTCTGCTCTCTCCTCTTTACATCTCTCTGCTAGGATGGCCTGCTGCCACCTTGGGCCTAGGGCCTTTAAGATAGTTTAAAAAAACACAAGATATTAAGTAAATTGCCATGGATATATGCTAAGCAAAACTCCATTCAGAGCTGCAAAGTAGCTATTGCAAGAGGAAAGCAGCTGCCTTTATTTATTCAAACCCTTAATATATTCAAATTTCAGACTATGTAGTTATTTTCTTGGAAAACATTGCTATTTGCAATGAAGCATTCTTGGAAAAAAAAATAACCAAATCTGCAGCAAATAATAATCAAGTTTGGATTTTTTTTCTTACATTTTATTGAGTTTATGATAATTTCTTCCAGGCACTATAGAGAATGCTATTTGATCAATCAAGTCATTAAGCTAAGTTTTTGATCTCAAATATGCTCCATATTGGGAATAAAATAATAATAATGAAAGTAATTTACTTAGTAATGAAAGTAATTTATTTCTCTTTCCTCTTTTATACAACAAAATGTTTGTATTACTCATTTTCAGTATCTCATGACACAGAAGCTCTGTATGCTTGAAACTATATGAAACACAAAAACTATACACATTAAAGAAGGGAAATAAAGTAATGAGACATCAATGTTAGAGATGCATTTCTACACCCAGCTACACATTTGTTTAACAGACTTAAGAAATGAGAAAATATGCCGCAATACCTACTGTTGCTTCCCTGGTGAGTCAAACGCTAATGATGCCTTTCATTAAGCATACCCACAATAGTAAGTGTATTGTGTGGCACTTGTTACCGAACACATTTCTTCTCTTTTTCTGGCCAAGATTAATGCAGTTTTACAAGAATTTTTCAGTAGCTGTCAGGATGAATCAGAGATTCATAAATCAAAGTCATTCAGGCTGTAGTGAATGGATTTTTTTTTCTTTATTGGCTTGGGATACATTTAACATACCAATGCTCTCTCCTTATGAGCCAATAACAAAACAAGTAAGGTAGAACATACAGGTATTTGAATGATTTAAGTCACTTTAACTTGCTGAAGTGTATTTGCCTAATCAAATATTTCTGGGCAGAGAAACTGTGTTGCCAGTCTTCAGGCAGCTTTTCTGTTTCTGATCTCTGCACCCTATGGCAGCATTAAATTAGGTTAGGTATCAGGAAGAAGTTCTTCAGTACGAGTAAGGTGAGACACTGTCACAGGTTGCCCAGAGAAGCTACAGCTGCCCCATCCCTGGCAGTGTTCAAGGCCAGGTTGTATGCGGCTTGGAGCATCCTGGTCTAGCGGAAGGTGTTTGTGCCCATGGCAGGGGGTTGGAACCTGATGATCTCTAAGGTCCCTTCCAACTGAAACCACTCTATGGTTCTATGACCTGCGGAGCAAAGGGTGATGGATACTGAGTCTGCAGCAGGCACCAGCTGCCTTCCCAGACCTACACATAGCAGTGGATGACAGAGCTGTAAAGCAGTGATAAAGTCAGAGAGTGTTTTCAGTGGCAAGATCTGCACTTCAGAAAAAAGACCTGGAATACTCTCTCCAAACCTTCATCCTCCACACAGTACCTGGCTACAGAAATACATTTCAGCTTGGATACTTTTATGCAAAATTGATGCCTTTTTCCAGTGTAACAATCTTTTCACTGGTGACAGAGGAAAAGAAAGACTTGAGTTCTGTAACAGTGGCTTCTGTAGAAGAAATTAACAGATTTTACATCTGAAGATATACGTCAATCCTCCACCATCGCCATGGGCTGTGCTGAGAAACCTGTGATATTTCTTGAGTCTGCTCAGGGAGCCTCAGGGGTGATATTGAGAACGGTCCTCTGCTCTCCTAATTAGCAGTCAGGCCCAGCAGTAGCAGGCTGCTGCTTTAACGCTTTGTCAATTTTTGATGGTGGCTCTAAAATGGTATGTTTCTGACAGAGCTTAGAAGAGAAGATTTAATTCTTCATGCTTAGCAACTGCCAAAAGTCACTCTGAGAAATAATTAATCAAAGTATTTGAACAGAATTCCAATTTGGGAGCGACAGAGTTTTCTCCAAGATATCCAATCAAGACATAAATAAGGAATTCTCTTATGTTGTATATCAAAATCAAGTACTCAACAATTTCCTTTTCCAGATTTTGTAACTGAAAACTCAAATGCTATTTTAGAGATTAGAAACTGTCCTGATAAAACAGTGTTCAGTCCTGCTCAGAGCTCAGGAATAGAAGCCTTGCAGGAGGGTGCAAGAACCTAAGCAACCCTCCCTTCTTGAAGAAATAATTTCACTTTCAGGAATCAACTTCAGTAACTATCAGCTACTAGAAAAAAGCAAACCAGATGCAAATCTAAACAACCTGACAGCCTGCCTGTGCCCAGCTCTGCAGTCTGTGGTCTGTGGGTCCAGCCAGTCCCACACACTGTGAGCCGATATGGCCATGGTGCCTCCTGCGAGCTCAGCAGCGCTTGCTCTGCACAAGGACTTACTGTGCTGCCAACCATGTGATGGTTTTCCTGCTGTAGCGCCTGCTCCTGCCTG